TCAGCTAGGATTCTGTAAATAGATGTACCCGGTACTGAACCTTTTATATTTGGGCATATCGCAACAATGGAAAGGCATTGTCAAGTTGATGTTTTTTCACTTTCTAGAAAATACATGAGCTACCGTCTAATATGGCAGACATGAAGAAAAAAGAGCACGTGATGTTATGGCGTCTTTCTGGAAAGGTCTATTATCAAAAACATTTTAAAATTGCAATGTTTCTTGACCTGCTGAAAATAACTATTTAAAAGAACATTAGCTATAACCACAGACAGCGTTCTGAAAGTGTACAGGTATTTGGTCTTCTCGGGTGATCTAATCTACTGAAATTTGTTGCATACAACTCTTTCATTCTTTATTCACTCGTAAAGAAGGAAGTTCTATCTTATGAAACAAAAAACGTCGATTTTAAGTTTTCTTAATTTGCATTGCAGTCTCGTGTTGGCTTAACAGTAAGCTTCAGAAAATATAACGGTAAGGACACAACCAGCGCATAGTGTATCTTTGTGCTAAAACATTTTTATTTTATTTTGCTTTATATACTTTCTTTATACCATATATCATCCAAGTATCATGAATTAAGGTAAAAGAAAATTTCTTTATCATAGTTTTAAGTTTTCTTTAAATACGTATAAAACACAAAACCTTACAGAGGCATTTACATAGACTTAATCCAGAAATATATGGATACAATTTTAAAAATAACTTTATATTTCTTTCATAATCCAAAATATGTTTGAAATTTGTATGCTTCTGAATACTTACTGTAAGGATGTGGCGATCGGATATCAATCGTTGTCATGGTTAGTAGGCCTATACGATCACCTAAGTCTAATTATTAATTAGTAAGTACCGATACAGAAATAGTCATTCTCAGGACTTCCCTAAAGATCATAGAATACTAACAACCAAAACATAGGATGAAACTAGTTAATAATTAGTATATATTCATTTAAAAATTTAGTAATCAATAGTTAGATCGTATAGGTTACTAACCATGATAACGATGTGCGCTTTTTATTCTTCTCTTTCTGTTGTAGTTCAGAAAACTGTCACTAAAACAAAGTTCAGGAACGTTGTTTTAGTCATTCAGTTTCCTAATCAAACTAAGAAGAAAATAAAACAAACAGTAAATCAAAAGACTTCCAGCATTTAGTTTTTTATGAGGATGAGATAACATTTCTATCCCATGTTTAGAACGGTCAAAGTCGAATCGATTTCTCATCATACTAAACATGCAATATGAGGTACTACACAGTAGAACGTGCGAAGTCAACATGCACTATGAGATAATACATAGCAGAACGTGCGAAGTCAACATGCAATATGAGATAATACACAGCAGAACGTGCGAAGTCAATAAGAAACGTAGCCGAAAATTTGTTTGCGCATTTTATTGGCATATATATAAGGCGAAACATAGTAGGTTGAAAATCAAATCTAGGATAACTGAACGCCCAAAAGTTTTATTGTCAGCATTAAGATGAAGAAACGAAATCCTTCATTGAAACTAAATTAACAACAGATCTAGTCTTCAGCTATAGTTTGCGTTTCAGCTATCAGTATTTTTGATTTAAAAACAAAAAACACACATATGAAACTAATTTAATATAAGCTTTAGTTTTAATTATTGCTTGCAAAGTTTATCTTTCTTTTATTAACTCATAAGATACATCTCTACTCTGGCGATAAAGTTAATGGTGTAAGTTTGGAAATAGTAAAGTAAGGACGACTTGTAGTCTGAAGGAAGATTAAATTCCAATGTTTTACACTTTATTATTATTTTGTATCGCTTTATTTGATCCCATTACACTATTAAACACATAAAAATTCACGAAAAAGGGTTTATTCTTTTTTTTTTTTTTGAGTAGTAGAACTTCCGTATACTTAAGAAAACAAATCAATCGCAAATACTAATCAGTGAGCTATTTGTTGGCAGGTTTTATTACAGAGCATTTCGGTGCCGGGGAAATCATTATTTCTCTCCATTAAGTGTAGGGCTTTATCATATAGTGAGTGTAAGTAATTTCCCAAAAAATTTAAATGTAAGATTCTCAGTCTCTCTATGGAATCTACTTCTTTGAGAAAATCGAACAGTTAATTCTTTTTTTCAGTCTTTTTACAACTACTTAGTGCGACAAAGAATATCACCATTGAAAGTGAGATGTCTAGAGTTTTAAGGGTCTTGGTTCGTAGTTTTAAACCAATCTCTGACAGAAAATGTGAAAATACGGAAATTTATTTTCCATAATTCCAAGATTATTTCCTAAGATAAGCTATAAAGCGTCTCGAATTAAATAAATGAACGTTAATGCATCATTCGCTCTCCAATTTTACTCTTCGAAATCGGGTTGTTATGACAAATGGAACAATAACAAGACCAACAACAAATATCTTTTACACGAAGACTGGCGGTATGTTACAGTAAAATATCTGTTCAATTTGTTGTCCCAATGTTTTTCTTCGATGTTCTTATAATGAAAAAAAAACTCTCTTGAGATCTTATCTTAGAAAACCAAATATTTATTGTTATTGTTTCAATCATAAATCCAAAAGAACACAGCTTGCTTTCCTCATATGATTGTATAAAGATATTATTCCCTTTTTTAAATCACACGATAAGCTATAAGAAGAAGTACTAAAGAGAAAATTAAAACCAAAATATTTAGTCAAAACTTATTTGGAAGAACATTTTACATGAAAAAATTAAAGTGAAAATTGAGAAAGAGCATAACATATTCTGACCAATATGAACCCAAATATATAATAAATTTATTAAAGCTTAATAGCTTTTGAGCCAAGATGCCCATGTTAAAAATCATATCCACAGAAATAATTTATGCTTTTATACTAATATTACATTGATGATTTCATAGTGAGCACATCATGTTACTCACTTCTACGGTGCATTTACTAACTGAAACAAGAGGGAATCCTCAATAGCCGCGGTACTTGAAATTCTTTTAGGCAGAATTAGAGTAAATTAATCTCTGAGACCCTTTTTTTCCTTTTTATTAGCTATATTTATGTGCGTCAGCAATACCAAGCTTGGGGCGCGCGTATACCCGATTTGATTTTAGTACTCATCATGATCCCTACCAGCCTACCCTCAAATAGAAATTCTTTTAGGCAGGATTAGAGTAAATTACCCTATGAGACCTTGGGCGTGGTCAAATACAACAATCGAAAGGGTTTGACATCCAAAACTGTAATTAGATCTCAAATCGGTCAAGAGATGGCGGAGATATGAGGTAAACGTTTGTACATGAAAAATCCAGAGCCATTCTATGAGCTGCTATGCCGCCGCTAAAGACACTCATAGGAATTAGAATGCAACCCCTGTACCTATAATGATTTCGACGTTTGCAGCAACCAACCAAAAATATCCACCAAAACATTTTTCATCCTCAAAAATGTGGATGTAGGTAAGTAATAAAATACTCTTCCTATCTCCGTTTGTGACCATGACCTCTGATCTAGTTTCACCCAAAGTAAAAATAACTGATCCTTGTCAAACTTTTATCCTTTGTACTAAATATTATCACAACCAAATGAAAATGTTTGGCGTTATACTTTTCACCCCCACACAAACAGGTAAGAAAAAAGGAGTAATAACAGAAATAAAGACTCATGGGAAATTTTAAAATAAAAACCTATTTAATATTTTATACAACATAAATATATGCTAATACACAGGCATCCCGTCTAAGATGCGAGTCATGGAGATTATTCAGTAATGCAGTGTCACAAAAGGCAGACTTATGACTGTAAGGATTTAAAAAAAAGCCTCTCTGAAGAGATGTATTTATTGAACGAGATTGTTAAACGATGTAGAGCCAAAAAAAACATAACATTTCAAAGAAAGGTGCCTTCAGTGTTCCGCATGGAAGCGGGAGAACTCTCACAGCAGAGCTTAAGAGATCACACCCCAACCCATTTCGGAGAAAAGTCTTCATTAGCAAAGTGAAGCCTACGATTACGAAAGAGAACTCTATAATCCAAAACAAGCCATTTGGGTGAAATTAAGCATATTTTCTTGTGCCGTTAACAATATAATAAGTTAACCAAGCTAACGAAGGCTCGCAAGCTTCAAACCACACCTGGAAAACAATGACTGTTTCCATTAAAAAGATGGCAAGAGAAACTAGAATCATAGATTGTTTGTTTGTTAAATTTCGCGCCAAACTACTCGAAGGCTATATGCTCTAGTCGTCCCTAGTTTAGAAGTGAAAGAGTAGATGGAATGTAGCTAGTCGACAACATTCACTGTCAACTCTTGGGCTGCACTTTACTAACGAAAAATTAAATGGACCATCACATTACAGCACTCCCACAGGCGGAAAAGGTAGACATGTTTAGTGACGGTACTCGTATCCTCAACCCGCAGGTTGCGAGTCGAACGCCCTAACCACCAGACTATTCCAGGCCTAGAATCATACCAATTTATTTTGATCTAAAAACTACCTAATACACTACCATTGCACTTTTTTTAATTGCTTAAACAAGTCTTGGAAACCAACGCCTACATACGGTCGAGTCTCTTTTGAAAGTTTGTCAAGATGCGTACGTAATATTTCCTTCGTCATACATCCTTTGCAGAAGCATGATACAATAGAAATTGCAATTTACAATGACAATGCTTAATCATACCCATCAATCTAAGTACTATCAAAAATGGAAGAATTGGTTCCAAAAGCAATACTGCGCCTGGAATATCGTTTTTATACAATATTAATAACCTCATTGTTTATGTATAAATTCATCGAATCAACCCCTAGTCTTTCATTGCGAAAATTCTAAGTATCTCAAAATAAAATACTTATTCTCTATAAATATGTTTAAAGTTGGCTGATCAGTTTTCTCTACATTCTTTCAATTATTAGCTCTAAATCAATTGATTTCTTTCTTCCAAAGATAGCCAAAGTACTTTTAAGTTCATTATTTTAAGTTCTGAATAAGGCTGATTGAAAACCAAATGGGTTAATTTTTCAGAAGCTTACCCATTCCTGTTAGACGAAGAAATCCGGTTGGTCCTCTGCCCACCTCATTAACTGCAGCACATGTGTAATTCCCACGAGTGTCCAGACTGAGTGGACCTGTTGTATAATTTTGTAGGAGGTTATGGAGAAGGATGCCATTATGTTCCCAGCGAAATTGTGTAGCCAGTGGACTACCTAAATCTTCCACTAAGCACTCGAAGGTTACTGGATGCCCCTTAACAGCTGGATAATTTAACTGTACAATTGTTGCAGGACCTGGAAGATCTGTTAGTAAAATAATTGTTGTTTCATGATTTTATGTTACAGCACAAAAATAGGAATGTGACAAATATTTAATTATGAAATAATCTGTGGAACACATTTCATTTCTACTGAAAAAGTATGTCAATATTTCGTATTTGTCATGTGTCAGAATTTGAAATAAAGACTGACTGGTGTTCAAAGAAAACATCCATTTATTAAAGATCAGTTTCGAATTAATATATGGTATGTACAATATGAGTTAAATATGCATGTATAATTAGACGTTTGCAATCTATTGAGCTACGATTTACATTTAAGTCACCCTACCGTAGTATTACTTCATATATTAAGAATTCTTCAATTTCTTTGCCTGTATACACAAACTTGAGCGACTGCCACACCTTCTGCAATTCTTTTATTAACGTGAGCTATATCCACAGGATCCTGTATAAAACAGACACGTTTTTCCACAAATTTATTCTAAAAAATGAACATAGTCTGATTCTCGTCCTCTTTTGTTGAGATCGAATACACTATTACTTAGCAAAGAAAGGACGTTCGGTCTTCAAAAGATTAACCAACGTCGCTCTTTGTATTGATACTGCATAAATTGATACTTACGTGTTTGTCTTAAGCGAAAGATACCTAACGGTTGGTTCATCAGTGTAAGTATATATGAGATATTCCACTAGTAACTTCTTCGCGGTTGTGTTTGTGTGTACTCATTTATGTTTCGAGAGCACACATATTTTAGACTAGTATCGAAATAAAAGCGTTTATCTTTCTAGAAGTGTGCAACATATGAAAATGCTTGACCCAACAGTTTGAAAAGCCCTATACATATTAGTATCAAATATTCAATACCTGTTTCCTAATCAACGTTGTAAGATAAACCATGCATCTGTAACTTGTGTTACTAACCCTTATAAATGGTCTTTAGTGCTCACGTTGATTAATGATATTAGTCATGTTCATTGAAAATATGTAATAGGTAAAAATTATATTTTTCTTTACGCTTGGCACTGTTTAGTTCATTTAATGATATTTTGACCAGAGTAACAAATTATAATACAACAATAATAATACAATGCATGGCATCACAAATATTTTGTGAATATATATATATAACGAAATTTAAGATAGCATCCGTTACAAAACAAACGTCACCAAGAACAATAACACGCATATTATAATCACTGAATCATCTCATGTCACTCATTTGGAGAAATTAACTGTGTAATAAAGTTTAAAAACAATTCTACAGTTATTTACTGATAACATATCATTTTTTGATGGAGTGAAAGAACTTGGCTGCACTTACAGTTCACCAGCAACCGATGAGGATGTGAGCGATCGCCCCAACCAGCCACGTTTTCTGCTTCACACGAATAATTAGCAGTTGCTTCCCGCCTGATATTCTGAAACTCAATGTGATTCTCTCTGGTTTCATTGAAAAAAATGTCGTTCTTGTACCATCGCACCCGAAGAAGAGCCCGAGGGTTTCCTTCTACAGTTGAACACTTTACTAATACAGTGTTGGCATCGTTTTCGTTGACAGTAGCAGGGAAAATAGAAATATCTACTTCTGGTTGGTCTAGAACAGAAATGAAAAAGAATGTGATGACTCAAATAAAGTTGAACATTGTAGCACAATACGAAAATAAAATAAATCTGGATTTTATTGAACATCATATTCCTTGATTTCCTATTTCCCATTATGTTGAAGATGTTAAAACATCTTTATTCCGAATGTAAGGGATAGGCACAATTAACTCTTAATTTGCGTCCAGCTATAAGACAAATAAAAAATTAATTAACTTCATGTTCGTGTCTGTTTTTGTTTGATAACTTTAGCTTTAACGCAATATGGCATTTCATTAACAAATAGATATACTTAAATATAAATGCAATATAATAAACTTTGATGATTCAAAACTCATTCTAAGAAGTTATTGTATGGATTTATAAGAATGTGAAACTTAATAATGAATTATGTTTAATTAAACGTTACATAAAAAGGCAAGAACCACAACACCAATGTAGCCATATTATTCTTATGGCAAAGGTCCATAATTTTAACTGGTGCCATGGGACTTTCACACAAGTAATTTCACAAAACGTTTTTGTTTTAAATTTCCAATTGAATCAAATCAAGCAATTATATATATATATTTTCCAATCAATATTATCCGTGGCAAGTATTACTCTGGAACTTCAGCAGTTTTTAAATGGAACGCGTTATTGTATTAAATCATTCCAATCAAAACATGCGAGGTGAGGAGCCGTATCTCTAGCTGAAAGAAATCTTCTTGTTATATTTCCATTACCGAGGGTTTACCGATCAATGAAATGAAAATCTTTGTTCGCGTTAAAAACGTGCAACAGAGAACGTAGTCATCTACTGAAATGTAATTCACAACATTTCTATATCAAATAGATAGTCCTTACATTCCCTGTTGTTTAAACCTGCGTGTAACTCTTCTGCAGAAAATTCAATTTTCTAGTAATATTTACCTTATTTCTATTTGGAGGCTGTCAAAACAGTCCTACTATATACATTACTATTTATGTACAAGTAGACAACATATGATTATATGTTTTCCATTAGTTTGGTTTATCTCTTCGTTGAATTTATCGTGAACGAGAACAATGATCGGTAGGCTAACAAACGGAATACGCTGTACATCAAATCAAGAAAGCGATGCTTTAATTGACTCTAAATTAATTTCAGTGGAGATATTTTTACCCGGATTCGTATAAAAAAAATGGAAAAAGTTTCAAAAAGCGATATCAGTTCACTCGCTCAAGACTTATCAAAGATCACGCCAGTTGTTTTATTTCATTCCACCACTCTAATATGGCGTCGCCAGAACAACATTTCGAAACGGCTATTTTTATTTTCTGCTTTTCTAAGGTCACCGCTATAAGCCAATAACTGCACAAAACTCTATATGCTTTGATACGAAACCCTTCGTTTTTATTTGCAATAACCTGCAGGTACTATAAATTTTATAACAAAGTTTAGCCAAACGCATTGTCGTTGTTTATTCTGTAATCTATGCACTTAAATATAAGTCAGCCAAGTATTTGTTTGTAAAAAACATCTTAGTGCACAGAAAATTAAAATATCTATTTGTTTATATTTCGCAAAATAATAGTTTCGATTTTCTTTGAAGTCCAGTTATAGTAGCTCTCTACTCTGGATGCGCGATTTTCTCTGTTTGTTGTTAAGCACAATGCTACACAACGGTCTACCTGAGTCATAATGAATACAGGAACCTGGTTTTTAGCTTTATAAGCCTTCAAACTTCCCGCTGAGCCATTGGAGGGCATTTCTCTCTGCACAAAATAATTTACGACTATTTGAATAACATTGAAATAATTATAATTCTTTAAGGATGGATTTTAAATGTCTATAATATATTTTATACACCTTAACTATTTTGTGGATATATGTGTTAAGTCAATCCATATATTATGAAACTTCGATCAGATTAGCAAGCCTTGTACATATCTATATCAGTAAAAATTGGAGTGAATGTATGATACGTGAGATTAGCATACATTAAATGTTTCAACTGATGTGTGATTTGTTTGTTTTTTTCAAATTTTATTGCACATTTCAAATCGTTTATAAAAAAAGTTTTCACTTTGGCTACATAGATTTCATAAAATTTTAAGTGTAGTTCATGTAGCACGTGAAGGAAATGTGGGGGAAATGGGATGATAAAATTTTTCTTAGAATGAGATTAGATTTTTTACAGTTTTGTGTTTTGAACTTTATTCAGTTTCTGTTAGCATCTAACACCTTACAATGATGCATATCAATGAAGCGGTAATGATACACTGTCTGAGAAAATGCCCTATATAACAACGCACCGTGTTCGATAAAGATAAAACTCAAATAGATAATATTGAAATGTCAATCTGCTCTGTATACATTATGTTATACATTTTTTTTTCATGCCTTATTCTCCATTGACGTAAAGGCAAGTTTGAGACTTATAATTCTAAATCCCGAGGTTTGATCACCAGAGTAGACAAACGCAGATAGCCCGTTCTGCAACTTTGTGCAAAATGAAAACAAACAATCCTAAACATTAAGATATCTTCATACGAAATGTTATCAAGCAACCCGAATTAAAACGCAAGTCAAAGAAAATATTGTGAAAAAGTACTGAGACTGTCCAAAAATGAAAATGTAAAGCTTCATCTTATGTTTTTTGACAAAGAAATTATCGGCTTTCCCCGTATCTATATACATATACTACTACTGACTGTTGTCTGTTGTATATCCATGTAACTACTTCGCCCTCTGTAGATAGATATTCACCACATTTGCTGTGGAGGCTCAATGGGTCCATGGGGAAATACATACAAATTTTCAGTTTTGCATTTTGTGGTTTTATGGGCGTTTTTGCGTTTTTACCATTACTTCGCCCCCTGTTGATGGATCTTCACCAAATTTTGCATGAAAATTTGTTGGGTCCATGCGGAGAAACCCGCAAATGTGTTTTTGTGTTTTTTTACAATTACATATAAGGGAAGCAACTTTTCATGTCCTGAGATAACTTTCATTAATCATGAATTTACATAACTTCCGTCAGGGAACGGGTACTCCAGCTAATGTTAAATATATATGTTTGCTGTTACAAATAAACAGTAGCGTATCGCTGTTATTTAATCATATCACGTTTAAGCGACAATATATATCTCCAAGCAATCTGAGTACTTGCGTCTTTCTATTACTTGAAATTATTCAGTTTAGCCCAAATAAGACACATATATTAAAACCTCACAGACAAAAAAAAAATCCTTATTTATTATCCTATATTTTTTCTTTCCTAATTATATGCGATAAAGACAAGAATGTGACATATCAATAATTAAATTTAACAAACCAGTACATTTTGATTCTGGTAAACAAGTTAGTGGTACTTGTCCTTTAACTTTTTGACCCTCAAGCTTTTATAGTTTTATAGCAGGCATAACGATATACCCTTTGTTTATCACAAAGTTATTCTCTTTGTGTTATTCAATTCATTATCCTTGATGTGTTAGTTACAATCTGTTAAATACTTTTTAAATATATGTTACTGTATGATGATTTACTTTGAGACACATTACTTAAAACTGTAGTATTATCACATAATACAAAAACTAAGCTTATTAATGGTAACAAATGGTAAGCACAGGATACGAGTTGGTTTCTTCTGATAAAATACATACACACAACAATAATTTCAACGTCCTTGCTTGGGATTCCACGGCCAATCTTATTGCTTAATCTGCATGAGTACATCCCCGAATCACTGCGTGTCACATTTCGGATAACAAGAATAGGGTGACTAAGATTCGTTATTTGAAATCTGTCTTCGTCTTCCGTCGACAGCTGCACGCCCTCCTTGAACCAAATTACATCGTACACTTCAGCCGGATTGGCATCAAAGGTGCAAAAAACAGTGGCGTCTTCAGATTCTCTAATAGTGATTCCCGACTGTGGTTGCATCTCTACAACTGGGGGGTCTTTTAAACGAGAAAAAGATTAAGATGGAGATAAATATTCAGACACTAAAGTAATTTACTTACTCGGGTAATGATCTTTCACAGTTAAAAATCAGATTATCGATTATTTAACTATATATATGAAAAATATCCCTACTCTTTTATTGTATTCGGCGAAAATGTTTAAAGAAACACTGAAAAATTAATATATATATACATATATTCATAATCTAAAATTCAATGACTTTATAATTACTTACCTCTTTATACAGGAAAATGTCAAACATATTTAATTTCTATAAAGAATAACTTACTCACACAAAACTTCTAAGCCAATGGACTTTAACAGAGGCGGATCTCCGTTTTTCTCCAATACTGGGTTGGATCCTTTGCAGTAAAATACCCCTTGATTGTCATACCGAGATACAAGTATTTCAAGATTACTAATTGTGTTAAAGCTTCCAGTACTACCAGGCTTAATTTCAGCGTGAGGCTGTGGCAGAATAGTCTCAGAACGATTATACCAGGTGGCGTTGGCTGCAGGCTTAGCGCCCACTATCGTACAACTAAGTATAACTTTATCCCCTTCTATCAGAGGCTCTGAGGGTCCTTCAACTTCCATGTAAGATGGCTTTACTAAAAATGGATTTAAAACATGGCTAATGAAACCATTCATATGCCATTATATATATATATATACATATATTTCAAAACGTTTCCTTATTGATATTTCACAGAATTTTATATATTAGTCGACACTTGAAATCTAACACTTCACTCCACGTGAGAGCAATATGTATTTAACAGATAATATTTCAACTCACTTCTCTCTGTCTTCATTTGTGTTATAAAACCTCTTTTATTTGTCAACTAAAATTCAAATAATTTCTGTTGTTGCTGAAATAGCATTCTACAGATTCAACCAAGGTCCACAACTTAAAAATTTCAAATAAAGATTATTTTCTTATAAGTTGGAAATACATTATAGTATTCCAAATATAACAATGCACAATTAAGTCAAATTGATAATAATGTTCAGAATTAAATAACCGTACCATCCGCAATTAATAACGAATAGCATTAATTATAACAATGCTCCAATTGGAAACCTAAATATTTATGCATCATTTTACTTTAATGAAGTTAATTGTTTGGTTTTACTTTTACCTTAGTGATTTAAAAGACTTTAACGTCATTATTCTTGGTCTGGTTGTTCAGAAAAATATCTTTTTGTTTAATTTTGGCAAATTTATTCTAGTTATTTTCTTTTGTTTGAATTAAATGTATTTAGTGAAGAGGCAAGTTAGTAAATAGCGTGTATCTGCCTTCATTTTCATAATGAAATATCCAACAATAATGAGCAACCGTAATTCACAGGCAACACTAATAATGGGACAAAATGTTACACCGAAGCAGGAACATTTATTACATTTTTTATTAAATAATTTAAATATTAATACCTACACGTGAATAAAACAACCTCAGAAATGTCAATAATGGCCCTAAAATCTGTATGAGTTAGAGTATTTAAGCCACAATAATGATAAAGTTATTCATCACAGTCATTAACTTTATCAAATAAATATTAGTGAACTATTATTAATTCAAAAATTTTAATGTATTATATTTTGATAGATTTTATTGCTACATGTATCATTTATGTACTATATATTATATATCTACATCAGATCAACGTCGTTAATTATAATAATTTAGTTTATTTTCCTCACCATGCAAATCTATGTCAATCCAACTAACTAACAAGTTTTCCATGGCTTTATTTTTAACTTGGCAGCTAAGTCTCGCTCCAAGGTCATTTCTTGAAAGCACAATTCGAACAGTTGAAGTAACATTAGCTGGTCTAAGCTTGTCATCTAGGACAGTGGGTTCTACTGGAAGAAAATTACCATTCTTCAACCACGATACTTCAGGTAACGGTTTTCCTCCGAAAGTTACACACTCAAAGGAAAAAGAGGCTCCTTCGTAAAAAGGTCCGATAATTGTAGATGTTTCTAATTCCTTTCCGTCCTTTTTTATGATAGGCTGACTTGGTTTAGCTAAGAAAAATCAAATTTAGGTCTCAGTGCGTTAGGGAAATATCAAGATATCAAGAGACGTTATCAAAATAGGAAGAAATGACGAAGAGTATCTGTATTTGATAAACCTTTAAGCCACTTTTTAAATTTCAGTTAATTATTCAATAAAATGAAAAATTATGTACGAGAAGTTGCTTTAGATGTTTCGAATATAAACCAACAGTTGTGTTCTGAAATGCCATTGGTTGTGAGAAAACTTGTATCAGAGACGATAAAAATACCAATCAAAAGAGGCTGCAGGTACGCAGAAATATACTTGAGAGGGATTCTCTTAGCACAAATGGCTTCTGGCATTAATATTTATTATTTGAAGCTTCTACTAATATTTGCATTGTCAACACTACACTTTTCGCGTAGCACAAATGGATTCTGGCAGAAATATTTATTATTTGAAGCTTCTATTATTTTGCAATGTCAACATTACACTTTTCGCGTAGCACAAATGGATTCTGGCAGAAATATTTATTATTTGAAGCTTCTTCTACTATTTTGTCAACACTACACTTTTCATTTTCATAAATAAAATCGATCATATATATATATATCACAATATGACATATGACCTTTTCTTCAGTCTTACCTCACGCATTTTCAGCCTTTCTTCACACAAGCAATATAAAACTATGTCATCAATCTTTTCAACAAATACATGAGAAATCAAATAATCCCTTTTTTAGACATAAATATACTTTATTATCTGAATGTGGATTAAATTTGAAATGGTTTGAATGGTTGTTAACTGCATTAAAATGATAATTTCCATTGATAAAATTTAAATGAATTACTTTTGTTTTGGATCCTGCTTGATCTGAAAATACTCATTATAAGATTTTCCAAACATAACTAAAATGAATATTGACATAAGTTTCTTTTTTTTATCTCATCAATATTTATGCTTTACTCGAACAGAATTTTTAGTATAATACGCCATATAATAATTTGTCTAAACCAATAAATATGTTGAACATAACAAAGCCGTGAAAATGTCTTCGTTTAAAATTCTATAAGTTGAATAATTTATCTGATGAAAAAACCCACGTTACAATTCGACATTTGTGACTGCGCGACAAACATGTGCAGGAGTCTGTTGACTTGTGTAATAAGTATTAAACCATTTATATTATAGTGAATATTGAGTGTTATGTTTCTACACTACTCTGATATGTAACCTTAGGAAAATATTTATACTGCAGGTTATTCCGTCATCTGGTGATTGCTGTCTTGTATAATATATTTTATCTTCAACGTACTCTGTGTTCCAGGCTATCTGTACGCAGCCTTGTTGTTTCTATCAAAATATTTTGTGATATATGGAATTTAAACATGATGTATATTGTGAAAGAAATGCCCTACTTCAAACACTGTTAATTCAGAATTAAGTGGAGCACTTGGTGACAATCCCAGGGGTTTCACTGAGAGACACTGGTCCCTATATTGAGACCAGCTGCCTCGCAGAAGATAGAAGAGCGTTCCTTTGCTGATGTTACTAGTGGTCTTCTGTCTGTGTACTGTCTTATTGATTCACCATATTTTGCTTTTCCTATCCCCACCGTATGATACTTTGTTTTCCAGCAAAGCAGTCACAGTATCATTCCCTTTGAGTGTCCATGAGGACCTTTCATCTTACTAGTGCACAAATGGTCGATATCCTACCAGAAAGAGTTTTGTTGGATTTGATAAAGGGGTTTCTCCTGCGAATTTATCAGCTTTCTCGTTGAACTTTAACACTGCATAGCCTGGCACCTTCATATAGATGATGGTTTTAGCATGCAGTTCATTTGCTTTCTGTAATACATCTGGGGATCACCCAGTCTGAATTTTACACGGTAACGCCTGCGAGTGAGTTGCAAATATTATGTTTATGGCACCGTCAATAAGCAGTTTATTGCTTTCAGCAATCCGGAGAAGAGCTTGCTTTATGGCTTCCGGTTCCATAGCTGTGCTGCTTATGAGAAGCGTGAATGCGCCACCAGCTTATGGAAAATGTTCTTGTCCCATGAGATGATGAATGCCCAATCAGCTGTCTCTTGTTATCTATGGTGTAGGAACCATCTTTAGCTATGATGATATGTTACTGCTTCACCCTCTACCCAATCTATGCATTTTATATCTTGGCCATTTTCCACAAATTCCAGTGGCACCAGATATCTATTACACATGGAGAAATCTGAAATCTTTTGGTGACAAGTTATCTGAGTGGTAGCTGCATAGATTCTGTCTACACATTACTATCTGCTACTTGATCAGTGTTTGTGGGGTCATTGTGGAACTAGAATGTCCCAGCAGAAAAGGACAGTCGCCCTTTAAACTGCAAGGCCTAGTGAATAATTTGAATTGTGAACATTGTTGGTGTTGTGCAATGTTCTGAGACTTGTTAAGTGTAATAGGGCTTCGATGGGGGGTGGCTTGAGTATATTCTGTGACCAATCTTAAACATGTGTTTTATATCTTTGTATTCTTATCTTGCTGAGTGGCACTCATATTAATCATTGGTCGCATATTATGTAGAATTTGTAGGTTGAAGAAGAAGTTGGAGGCTATCATAATTAAAATAGAGGCAATAGATAAAGAGAAGTGTAGACTATGTGAAATGACAGCAGGATTTCAGGAGGAGCTTAAGCTTTTACACGCAAGTGATACATCACCTAACAATTACTTTCAGGGAGTTGGAAAGAGTACTATTAAAATAAAAAATAGTATATATAATTATAATGAGCCTATTCGACTGAGCAACAGATTTCAGTCCTTGGCTTGTGCAGATGAGGAACTATTGGAGGGAAGGAAAACAAAAGGATCAGAGAAGGATGTGGATGATAAGGAGGTTATGGTTATAGGTGATTCTTTGACAATGCATGTGGATAGTATAGTCTATGGGGTAAATAGGGAGAAAAGAATCAGATTATGCTACCAAGGGGCATAGGTGGAGAACATAACTGACTGAGCAGGAGATATAATAAAGGAGGCTTGCAGAGATGCAGTTTTTGTAGTGCATGTATGGGCTAATGATGTAATGAAAAGTAGGTCAAAGGAGCTAATTAATACGTACAGGGGGTTGACAAAGGCATTTAAAGTAAAAACCCATAAGTTAATTTTGTCAGAGATACTGCCCAAAATTAACTGTGGGGACGAAGGTATAAGTAGAACATTAGAGCTAAATGTTAGGCTTAGTTAGTGTGTGCAGATTGGTTGGTTGGACTTGTGGGATCAGTTCAGTGAAAGAAGGGAGCTATTTGGAATGAATGGTTTACATTTAAATAGGATAGGGTTCATTTGTTTGCTAAGGCTATTAACTCAGCTGTAAGAGAAGTTTGAAACTAGGACTAGACAGTGGTGAGGGCCAGAAAAAACTAAATGCAAAATAATAAGAGGAAAAGAAAAGTTTAGCATAAGAAATGAGTATCAAAGGATAGACTTAATTGTTACTATTCTAATGCTAGAAGTATAAGAAATAAAATAGATGACTTTAGAGGTAGGAATGGAGGATACTGATATAATGGGAATAACTGAAACATGGTTAAATGTAAATGACTTTGATGACAGAAATTTCTTTGAAATACAGGGTTACAGGCTATTTAATAGGGATACGGTATTAAAGAGGGGGAGGTGTGGCTTTATATATAAGATGTTACATCCTGTTGAAGTTGAGAATATCAAAGAAAATAGCAAAGAGATTGAATCCATTTTGGTTTCTATTAGTGGATATAAAGGGAAAAGGCTTTCAGTGGGAATTTGTTACAGTCCACCAAATGATACTGAAGAAATTAGTGAGAAACTTTACCATGAGATTAAGATTTCAGCTGTTAATGAAGTCATTATTATAGATGATTTTAATTTCAGCCATACAGATTGGGAAATGCTAGAGTCAAACCATGAGGAAGAAAGGATTTTGGAAACTGTTCAGGGTGAGTTTCTTCACCAATTAGTCAAGGAACCTACTAGGAACAATGCTATTTCAGATTTATTGTTAACTTCAAGTATCAAAGCCCCCCTGTGACACAGCGGTATATCTGCAGACTTACAACGCTAAAAACCGGTTTTCGATACCCGTGGTGGGCAGAGCACTGATAGCCCATTGTGTAGCTTTGTGCTTATTTTCAAACAAACAAATATAGAAATGATCGAGAGGGTGGAAATTGGAGAACAACTGGGTGCAAGTGACCATTTCTCTTTTAGGTTTGAGATTTTGCTGCATATGGAGACAAGGAATAATGATATTTAGTTACAAATTTAAAAAATGGAAATTTTGAAGGGATGCAACAAGAATTATCTGTTGTGAATTGGTCAGCTGAGTTATTTGGAGACACTGATCAGATGTGGAAAATGTTTAAAGATAAATTTTAGATATTCAAGGCAAACATATTCCTTATTTAAAGAAAAAGATAGGTGCAAGTAAAAACCAGGTTGGCTCACAGAGAGTTTAAGAGATGAAATGAAAAAAAATTGGCTGGTATGACAGGAGACTTAGAAGATCATAGAAGATCAATAAAGTTGGTGAAACAGGAAATTAGGACATCAAAAAGAATGTATGAGAAAAGGTTGACTGAAAATATAAAACTAACTGTAAGGATTTCTTTAAGTACATTAAGGGTAAACAAAATGTTAGGATGGGGTAGGACTCTCGAGGGATAATAAAGGAAGGCTAGTATCTGATAATTATGAGATGGCTGGGTTATTAGATTTTGCTTTTTTCTTCGGTTTTTACTAACGAAGATTAAAGCAGTATTCCACATCTTGAACAGTTGATAAATGGAAACGAAATCCAACAAGAAGACTCCATTAATTCTGAACTCGTTAAGAAACAATTGGGAAGTTTAAAAACGATAAGGCTCCTGGGCCAGATAATATTTCCCCAAGAGTTTTGAAGGAGGTTAAAGATTGGATATTAAGCTACTTACTACTATTTTTTGTCAGTCCTTGAATAATGGACAGGTACCAGAGGATTGGAAGTTAGCTAATGTAAC